TCATTTTTGTTAAATAAAACCTTGTAGTTGTTCACAATGAACGGCCTAATAGCTACTTTTTTCCGGAGAGAATCTAAATGATTTTTAGAAACTTGGAAAGAAACAGAAGGATTAAACTCGACTTACCTCGATGGTTTGCGTTGTCTGTCCGTCTGGAGATTCGTCACTGCTGGGCTGGAACTCGAACTTTCACTTTTCTAAACTTTTGAGCAATAAAGAATTGAGATTCACGATATTTTTCCGTAAAATACCTTTGCTCATCCTACCGACTGCGCCATTTACGTATTTGATGTTAAATACTTCGTTTTTAAAAAAGCGAATAATTTCGAAAAATAACCAACTTTATTATTAGTATTTAAATTAACAAGCAATGGTTCAAACAATGAGCTAAATCTGCCTTGGTAATCGCAGTTACATATATTTATAAACTCTGCTTTGCAATGTCAGCAGAAGCTGTAATCGTAAAAATGATATCAAGTTAGCATTCATAATTCGTGACCCGCTGTGCACCTGAAGTTATGGTGAAGTGGGTCTTCCAGAGCGGCAGCAGCTGTTTTATGCATCTCACTAGTGGTGCTCGTACCGCAAGACATTCGAGCAAGTACAACAATAGCTCATGTGATGTTGTATCAAATGCCTTGCGGTAATTAATCCAGGCCATCGATAGATTCCGCTTGTATTGCACAGAATCCTGTGTAATACAGCGGTCTATCAGCAGGCTATCCTTGCAACCTGCCATGCCCTTCTTGGCACCACGCTGTTCGTGTATCTGCTGGAAGACCGGATCAACAGACCTATGATGTCCTAGCATACAAGATACTTGTAAATATCTTGTAGCAGGAGTTGAGGCAAGTGATCGGCCTATAATTCCTCGGGTCGGAAAGATCCCCCTTTTTGGGGATAAGTACAGTGCGTTCCTCGACGAACCAGTCCGGAATCTGCTGCCCTTCGTTCAACCATGAGTTGAAAACTCGCGCCAGACGGCGGTGAGTGGAAGGAAATTTCTTCCACCACCAGTTGTTAATGCCGTCTGGACCCGGGGCAGCGAAGTTCTTGGTACCATACTAGTGCTTGTTGGACTTCCTCCGTACTGATATGCCGGGCACACTTCTTCTGGCTCTTCAAGATGTCTGTGACACAGAGCCTCGAAGTGTGCAATTGATGGAGTGTCGCTATTGAATGGACGCGTCGTTTCGTAAATTCCCTTCCAGAAGGTTTCGACATCTTCTACAGTCGGCGGATTCTCGACAACACGCTGTGGCTCTTGGAAAGAGGTGGGAAGGATTCGTACAGAACAAATTGTTTTGTTCCATACTCCTCACCCGCCTCTTCAATGTTTTCTTTATCGCCATGAGCGCTCGGATCCTATCTAGACAGTGCTGCTTGATGGTAAGCATCACTGTCAGATTTAGAGTATGGTGTTGACGTCATAATCCGGCTGCTATGCGCCGGATTCTGGGAGTAAAAACTCTACCAGTTGTCTTATATTCCAATACACTCTGGATCCGAGAAGCGTGTTTTCTGGCCGACTGTATCTTGCTTCTCGATTTTTTGTACACGCCGCTTGGCTTTCTCGACCCCGTGATTGGTTGACCTCTCAGGGGGGACGAGTTGCTTCGCAGCGTTGTACACGGCAAAGTTGATATGTCAGATGTCTGCATCTTCTGGAAGTTCCTCATCGATGACCGCGTCCATTCTAGCCAGGTCTTGTGGCTTTAGGTTAGCCCTGGTGTTACGGCTAACCCTCGTCCTTAAGTCTACACCGGTGAACTCTACAGGATGTTCCCCATCAGCTTCTAATTGCCGCGGTGGGATTGCGGCTGGTAGTTCTTCCAGCTGACGGGGTACCCGTACGTAACCTGTCCTGAGCAGAAAGGATACTTGATCTCTCAGATTCGCTCAGGGTCGCTGCTCTCGTAGCACGTCAGCAAGTCGTCCCTTAGTTCCCTCGTACACTTAAAGCGTCCATGTCCATTGCCATTGTTGTCAACATTTAGACCTTCGAGGGGGGCTCCTCCAACCTGTCTCTGACCCCCATCCGATTGGGGTCGATTGTGAGGAGCCCTTCCTCTGAGTGTCGCTGGAACCAGAGTGTCAGGGTACCAGGGTGGTTAGCCCTGGTACTCCCGGCCGGCATTTGTCAGGCAGAGTTGCCTCTGCCTGTCCAGGGTGCACCAGTGCGGAGGTTGCCGGTCATTTGCACCCCTATTATATATTATTATTATTATTATTATTATTATTACTAATAAATATTTACATAATTCTTAGTATTCTCATTGTCATGATATTAGGCAGAGATGTTGAATATTTACGTGCTTTAAATTCTTATTTCTGTAAGGGGCAAATAATGTCGATGCTGCTAATACCTAACCACATTCCTCGCATTCCAGTTCTTTTCATACTAGGGAGACATGGTTGTATATCCGTGTAGTTAATTGTTATTTTTGAATGGAAATAACTAATAGCGATGCTGTGGATAGGGAGAGACTGATATACAAGTGTATTTATTTGTTATTTTTTTATGAAAGCAACTAATCGATGCTGGTGATAAATATTCTAATTTCCTAGCATTCTTGTTGTCGTGATACTAGGGAGAGACATTGACATCAGGCAACTTTCTGGATAAAAACAAATAATATCGATGGCATAAATAAATATTCACATACGTCTTAATATTCTCATTGTCATAATTCTAGGGAGAGATATTGATATTTAAGTGTTCTAAATTCTCATTTTTGTTTGAGCAAATAATTTCGATATTGCTTAATATATAACCATGTTACTACTCGTATTTTTGCCTTCTAGATGCTTGGGGGAAGACACTGATATAAAATTGGATTTAATTGTTATTTTTTGATAGAAGTAAATAATACCGATGCTACAAATAGATATTTCTAGCATTACCAGTGACATGATACTTAGGAGAGACATTGATATTCAAATACCTGAAATTGTTATTTTTGGATAGAAGCAAATAATATTGAAATGAGCAGTCATTTACACCAACTACTGGTATTTCGATGCCTCTGGGGTACAATAAGATATTCATCATAAAACGTCGTATAATAAAGAAAAAGTTTTATAGCAAATTTATTGTACTTACTTAAAACAAAATTAAGAACACACTGTACAATAAATATTTTCCAGTTTCCATAGTATGTTTATTTTATGACCGACAGCATTTCGAGAAGTTTAGTCCTCAAAAATAAATTTGTAATTCAAATTTTAATTAATAAAAAATAAAAAGTAAATCTCACGCCGTTCATTTCATCTTCTTGTCCCTTTAGAATTTGTAGTTCAGAATCCATAAAGCGAAAAGCAGTCAGGTTGGTCACGTACCATACAAGTTGCCCAAATAAACTCTCAAATAAACGAATTGATTTGCTGTCAGATGATCCTGCACAAGTTTAAGCACTTGCACGACTTCCAGACATACTGATATAAGTCGTAATTCTGTTAGATGCATAGCCAAGTTAGATTTAGTACTGCAAATATCAAACGTGACACAATTATATGCATTTAACGATATAAGAGACTAGAAGGATGCGACCTCTTACCTAGGAGAAGAAACGGAGATGAAAATGTGTACATTTTTACTATTTTACATTTTATGTCCTAATTGACAAGAAGTTATGTTATATAGTGTAGATGATATTAACATGATTTTAAAAAACATAAATATATATACCGAAAATTTCCTACAAAGGATGTTTGCGTTAAAAAACGTGGGTATTATGTTTTGTAGGTTATCGACAAAATCAAACCGGTACCTATTAAAAAAGTCGAAAGTTGATGAAAAAATCAATATTTTAATAATTATCAAAAATACACTGGCATTAAAATAGTATATTATGTTACTAGGAGGAGAAGGCGAACATTACATGTTGAACCCAGAAGTTTGCTCAGCCGAGGCTGAGCAACTGGGCAAAACATATAATGTGCCTTCTACTCCAAGTCGCATATACTATTTTTTTCTACAAGCGTCAAAACAAAAAAAATTGCGACTTTAATTTCGAAGAATGACATCAAATATGTTCAATTTTGGCAAAAAAATAAAATATTGGTAATGCTAACCATTTTATTTATTAATTAAGCATAACATAGTACTAACCACTTTATTTATAAATTAAACATAGGTAAAATTTTTTTTTAATTGGAACTAAAATTAAGTATAACATTTTTAGTTCTTAACATCAAAATCTATATTACTTATAGGTCTTTCCAAAAACCATTATTTATTAACGTGAATATTAAATGTGCAATTCTGTATAGTACAGTTGCTTACGTTTAAAGCACTGCTGGCTGTGTTTGTTTCTAGATTTGTAGTTCTGTCGAATATATTACTTGTAATAAGATTGTCAGCTTGATTGTTCAAAATTCTTTCATTGTTGGCAGAAAAATCTTCAGTAAAAATGTTTTCAGTTTGACTTGAGGTACTGGGCTCATTATACTCTAATGGGTTTAGTATCTTTATCGCTATCTGTTTTTTTGTTGTTTACAGATTCTTCAATATATCCTTCAGCAACGCTGGTGGATTTCCATCCACCATGTCGCTTTAGGGTTGTTATATCTCCACCATTATCAACTAAGATAGTTGCCGAGATTCTTCTAAGGCGATGGTCCGTATATTCATGTGAATTTGGCAACTTTAAAAACGACGCAACATCTTTTGCAACGTTTGAAATTTTATGTATGCCCATCACAATACGATGACAATGATCATTTTGATATTTAATAAAAAATCTACCAAATGTTATGTCTTTTGGCCGAAGAGTAGCATATTTTCTGTATAAATTTAAATAAAAATCTCCAATTATAGTAAATGAGCGATGTTTTTTAGTTTTTGTGTTGGAAATATTTACTAAGATTATCTCCCAAATCTTTTATATCATTAACTATCGCATCTGCAAGCTCCTGTGACTCCAAATATTAGTACAGCCTAAAAAATATACTATATTAATTTTATAAAAGTAAAATAAAGTTAGAAAGAGCAAAGAAAAAGTTAAAAGTACGGGATTCGAAACCGGGCCTTCAAATGACGAGTCTAACACTCTGACCACTGAGATATATCTGGACTTAACCAAAGCATTCAATTCTTTTTATCTATTATTTTCATAGCGGATAGATATAAAATAACTGGAATTTCACAAATTGTAACAAAATATTATATTACAGATATGAAAGGGTTAAATATATAATTTTAAAATGCGTACATACCTTTGTTGCTAAATATTTATCATTAGGTGCTTCATTAAGGAATTCATCCAACTCATCTTTAGACAGAACTTTTGACTTTTTAGGTTTATAATTTTCGCCTTGTCGCTTTAATTTAGAATAGTTGTCAATTTTTACATTGTGTTCGATGTTTAATTTAGATTTTACCATTGAATATTGCGCCCATAGAGTTTAACTTTTCAGTTTTTTGGATAAATGTGTAAAATATGCTATCATCACATTTTCCGAATACATATGTACGTTGTTGTCCTTGGCCCATTTTATAAATTTATCGTACGCATTATAGAAAACTTTTTTGGATTTCGCGGGAATTAATGTTGCCACTGATGAATTTGCAATTTGAAGTAATTCAGGTGGTGTGCACTGCATTTCTTCAGACATTTTTGCTTTTAAATTTGAAAACCGACCCGACATGAAATTTAAAACTGACAGTTATGACAAGTCATAGCTACTTGGATTTTTAATTCGTTGTATGATAGGTACACTGCTGTGCAAAACTAAGTAGGGCAGCACTTATTTCTGTACCTATAAGAGTTAAAAATCGAGATAAGAAGAAAGGAGTATTAAAAGAAGGCCTTTAACTGGGAGACCGAGAATAAATGATGGTTGAAAACGATCAGCAATTAGTAAATTATCTGCGTGGAAAAGCAGATACATTTATATTACATATATATTACATCACTATTCTCACTGTCTTACTTTTGCACAGCAGTGTACATTGTTTTATTTTTGTCCTAGAAAAAAAAATGAAAAATATTTGTATTAGTACAAAAATAGGCTCTTTCTCCAAAACGTGTTGCAATATATAATGTAAGTATTGTTATACGCTTGAAGAAAAAAACTATATATTCGAATGATCTAAAGAAGTATGTTTAAAATATTACGGCAAATTAAGACCCGATTATTCGGAGGAAATTACAAGAACACTATTAATGATGTTTCAAGGCCTGGCAATTTACTATTCTCTTTGATAATTTGCTTTTTGTTGTGCCCCAATGCAGGAAGTCATTCGGGGATTTATTAATTAATTTATTTATAAATGACATCAATTATCAAACAAAAGTATCACAATCTTACCTACTTATTAAAATAATACCATTAGTACCAATTGATAAATAAACCGATGAGGAAATTAATCTACATATAAAGCAAACACTTTGCTTAATGTACATTAAGAAATTATGTATAAGAACTTGAAAAACTTTCAAGTGAATAAATATTTGAAAAGCAGAGATGCGTTGATTTCGCTGCTGACTCGTTCAAGAACTTTTATATATTTTATACCCCAGATTTGCTGAACCAAATAAATTTTTGATACGGTGTCCACTCTTCAATGGCGGCTCGGGAACTAAATATAAAATATACATAAACAATAATTAGATTCCCGCATAGGCGACCCTGATGTAACGAAATCTCGAACTAATTTTCTCGTTTGACATGTATTGTAACTAGATTACAACGAACACCACAGGACTTTAAGATTCATTCCAAACAACAAAACTAAAATCATATTATTCTTATTTGCACCCTTATGATTTAATTATTGAGTAGACAGAAACGCAAATCGGTAAATTGGTTTCATATTAGAAAAGGTAACTGATGGCAAGAGACGTAATGACTATACATATGGGAATTTAGATGTCATGACGTATATAACAGAAGCAAACCGTAACAGTACTGTAAACAGTATTTACCTCGTAAACTTCTTTACATAACAGCTCCTTCCTGTTTCACCGCCTTTGTTTGCCCCCCGCCAATCAACGTTTAGTATTTTTTCGACGATATATGTTTCGTCACAGTGGGCAGCGACTTTATGCGTATGGCCTATGACAGTCTAATTCACACACTTTACATAACAACATATCACTATTTCTGAAGACGCGGTCTGCGTCGCCATTTTTTACGTCCACTAACACACTACATCAGACAGAAAATATCGAATAAATAAAAAAAGGTCTTGATACTCGCCATACACACAACAGATCTCTAGCTTGAATGTTCTCGAAATGAACAAAATTGCTAAATGATGCAACGAAAAACGTGATCATAACTCTGTAGCGCATAATCCGACACCAGTGAATATCCATGCTTTCTTCAACCTTATATTCTGTACAATAAACCATTAACGAATACTCTCATCTTATTTGATATTACTGGAGCGATAAATCATAAAAAAAAATAATTTTGGTGCATTCTGTATATGATTTTTGGATTCTTTTATCTCTTTTTTTATTTATATATTTATCTTCCACTGTATACTATATTTGACATCTAGGGTTAGGATAATTACACCTCTGTTATGTTTTCATCTAAAGCACAATCTAATAGTACAACAGTTTCAAATACTGCATGTTATTTTATCGACTAAGCTTCTAATCTCATATAAATTGCTGTTAAATTCGCACATATACCTAACCTGTGTTTACTGCACAGAAGCTTATGTGGTGCTTGGAATAAGTGACAGTGCTGATTAATTCAACGATGTATACATGTCATCTTTTAGAAGTGATAAATTCCATTCTAAAAAATTATTTGTTTAATCGGTCGCAAAAATCAAAATGTATTTGTGTCAAGACAGTCCATATTCAATTTATGACGACCGTTCTGCCTTTATGGTCTTTTTGCTTGTGTAAACATGATATCAGCCAATCAAAATAAGCTGCTCCTTGATGTGCTCTGGAAATGAAATGGGTCAAAATAGTTAATCACTGTTAAAAATAATCGTGGAAGTGATATTGCCGCTAACTCATGATTATTCAATATCTTAATAGCTAGTATTTTTATTTTTAATACTTAAAAGATTGAAACAAGCATTTAATCGAGTTTTAACAACAGGAAGATTCACGTCAGTAATATTTCTTCTGATTACCTATCACGTAATTTGTTTAAAATCAACGTAAGTTGATTGGGCCCTAATAAACTCCCTGTATATATAACACCTTGAGGTAACAAATGAATATTCGAAAAGCCATAAAATGAATATGCAATTCTATGGGATTTAATGTATTTTCAAGCATCTGATGAATTACATTTAATAGTAAAGCTTGCTGGCTAATAATAGAACATAATCAATTTGCAATCAAAATACCACATGCGATTATTTTCAGCTAACTTCTTAGGGTGTGATAAAGTAGAGAAAATTTTAATATGTCTGTCTCCAGGATGACAATGATTTAGCTGACTCAGTTGCGATCGTTACTTGCAATTAAGTTTCACCACAATGGCTTCAGGGAGACGTCTAAGGCTCAAGAGGTATGTACTTGACACTACAGCTTAAAATGAATCATTAGAATATATTAAAATAAATACCGTGTGACATTGCATAAGACCGACTGATATTAAAAACGGTGTTCGTTAGAGTGAAGATGCATTACAACTGTTAATTAAAAATTAACACAAACTCATAATAAATCTGGAATATTTAGAAATGTTTGGAGTGTAAGGGGAAGTCAGATCAAACTTTTTCGATAGCTCAACTAGATCAGACTCAACTTGGTTTAAAATAGACTGGGAATCAAACACAATGTTAGAAGCAAGTGTTTAAAACCAAGTCTTATCTTTCAAATGTTATAAGTTTAGATCAGTAGTTTAAGTAAAGTACTTATACCGTCTTTAATAAATTGAAACATTTGTAGCTGCTTTTTTTATTTCTTTTTAATCCATCTTCATGATATGTTTCTATATAGCCGAACTGGAATCTAAGCCTATACAATATGTAGGCGTGACAAAACCTCACGAGTTTTTGTCTTATCATTTCATCTCCGTTGAAAATGAAATTTATAGTGTTTCTGATACAAAAACTGACATATCTTTTTGAAAAAGTGTGACAATAATAAAAGAAAAACAGCGACAATGAAGATTCTAAAGGCAATAAAGTTTATTTCACCTCTGCTGAAACAATAATAAAAAGGACTCTTGTTAGCTTTAATCAGCCTTGAGTGTATATGCATGCCTTTGTCTCATATGTATCTATACAGAGTGATGCTTGCATCTTTCTATAGCTAAATAACAACTAAACCGTTGCAGATGTCGATATAAAATTTGGAATATAACTACTATACCATTATAGGGCCTAGACTGCACACTTGCTTTTGTGAACGATTTAACACTTAACACTGAAAAATATTCCGGATTATTACCGTATTTGCTACACCAAAGACACTAATTTATTAGCCACTGAGAAATCCGTAGATCTTTTGCAAGTCATCATTAACAAAACTTGTAATATAATTATTACCTGGGCCGACAAATAATGTCTGTATTAAAATAGAAGTAAAACTACTTAATTCATTAACAATTCAACAAAGATCCTTCGAGTTTCAACAGAAATTTACAATGAACTGCCATATGAATGCATTAACTTAGAAAATGACAGGTGCTGTTTGCCCGTTTTACAAAGGCAACTCATGCTACTGTATGTATAGAGCGGTATCGGCCTTGACTTAATCATAAATCATTAATTTGGCAGTAACCATTATTGCTGCTCTATTATACCCAATACAACGAAATAGCTAATTAATAAGTAGTCCAAATTAAAAACCAATTCAACCTGAATGTATTCAAGACCATTACTATACTAGGCCATTAGATTAAACTGTCAATTAAAGTGATGTATGACCGCTGTTTAAATACAGTAGTCAATCATTGGCGTAACGTTGAGGCGGATAAGTATTTTATGTACAGAACATGTGAAATAGAATTGCAAAGTAAGTTTTGTCATGGAAAATCTGGAAAGTCAAGGAATTTGACTAATGTTGTAGTTCTGTAAATTTATCTGTCTATTAATCTGAAAAATTACAGAGGTTTAGATGCTCCAGTGGGTTGGATTAGTTTTAAATGTCAATAA